TAAGTTTTCATAGCTCTAGAAGTGAAATGTCCAGGTCATAGGGCCTGTGTGTCTCCATTTCTAAGACAGTGTTGTCCTGTTTTCCAATGTGGCTGTATCTGTGGTGAAACCCCAGCAGGTTATGAGAATTCACGTAGTGTCAGTACTCTTAATATTTGCCAATCTGGGCTGGGTACAGTGGCTCACACCTGTAATCCCAGCTCTTTGGTAGGCTGAGGTGGGTGGATCACTTGAGCTCAGGAAACCAGCTTGGGCAATATAGCAAAACCCCATCTGTACAAAAAATACAAAAGTTAGCCGGGCATGGTGATGTGCACCTGTAGTCCCAGGTACTTGAGAGGCTGAGGAGGGAGAACCACCAGAGCCTGGGGAGGGTGAGGCTGCAGTGAGCCTGGATCACGCCACTGCACTCCAGCCTGCATGGCAGAGTGACTCAATCTCAAAAAAATAAAATAAAATTGCCAATATGGTGGGCATGTGGGAGTATATTATGGTTTAATTTTCATTTCCCTAACTAATAATGCCATTTTAAATTTTGTTGACCACTTGTACTTCTTCTTTTGTGATGTGCTTGCCAAATATTTTGCCTTCTATTCTATTGGGCCGTCTGCCTTCTCCCTTTTTAAAATTGAGTATTACAAGTTATTTTGTATCCTAAAATTGTAAGAAAATGAAAACATTTAGAAGAACTATTTACAAATATCTTCCATGGCTTGACTTTTCACTTTTTATTGGTGTTTCCACTGGTGAACAGAAACTCTTAATTTAAAAATAGTCACATTTACAAATTTTTTCCACTTCAATTAAGACTTTCTGTGGAATTCATCTTAAAAATCTTTTGGTACTTCAAGGTAATGGAAGCATTTTTTTTCCATATTCTTAAAGTATTCCTTTGCAATTCATCCACTTGAAATTAATTTTTTGTATGGTTTAAGTCTACTTTTCACCAAATGCACAGTCAATTATATTCACACCATGTATTGAAAAGTGGGTTCTATATTTCATAATCTATAGTCACTACAGTGCCCAGTTTGTGTAAGTCTAGCGTTTATTCATGCATGAGTCTGTTTATGGGCTCTTATCAATTACATTGCTCTGGACCTATACTATACTAAACTGATTTCTGTAGCTTTAGAATAGGTCTTCATAGAACAAGCTCTCCCATATTCTTCTATTTTTTCGTAGTTTTGGCTATTCTTGGCAATTTGAAATTCCATGTATCAATTTTAGAAGTAATTTCTGTGGTTCGCAGAATACTTGTTGCATTTTTGTTGGAATTCATTGAACCTATAAATCATTTATTTGAAGAATAATTTACAACTTTGTAATACTTGGCTTTTCAATCATAAATGTGATATAGTTTCTCATTTATATAGGTTTTATTGAATGTCTCCCAATAATGTTTTATTATCCCCAGGGAGATCTTATATATATTTGTTGAATTTATTCATAGGTAACAGATTATTTTATGCTACCATAAAAAATATCTTAATAAATTTTTATGTTTTCAACCTGTTTGTCAAGGGCAGAAAGAAATACATTAATTTTTGTATATTAACTTCATACCAAAGAACTTTTCTAAGCTCTCTTATTAATTCTATTAGGAATCTATAGCTTCTACAGGGATTTTTTATGTGGAAAGTTACATTATTTGTGAATAATGAGAGTTTTGTTTCCTTTCTAAATGTTATACCATTTTTATTTCTTCTTCTTTCTTTATTCTATGGATTAAAACGTCCTGTACGATGTTGAATAGATTGGTGGTAGGGGGGGCTCAGTTTTGTTTTTCAGTTGAGAGGGAAAGCCTTCAACATTCTGTCATTAACCATCATGCCTTCTGAAGGTTTCTGTTTTGTTTTTGTAGCTATCTCTTACTATTCTTAAGGAAGTTTCTCACTTTGAGCTGTGCACACATCTGGACATTTAGTATACGGAGGAGAGTTTGCTTTGCACATGCATTTTTTAGAAAGCATTCCCCATATCATTATTGGTGTAGTTCATGTTTCAGCTTTAATATCTGGGAAACAGTTCATAGCACCTGAACTCACTAAATAAGCAACTGCACTGTGGTGTGGACTGTCTACACTTGTACTCTGTGGTCATGGCTAGTGCTGTGATACTGGTTTAAACGAAATTATCTTTCAGAGTCCATTCCTTACATCCTGAATACATGTACTGCATGTATCTGATAGATGGTCTGAAAGGTTCTTCTTTTTCTTAAGATAAGATTTAAAAAAAACTTTATAGAACATTGCCTCAGAAAATCTCATTGAATAGCATGCTTCTTCCTTTCTCCCTATTATCTCTTGACCCATAAATAGTCTTACAGTAGCTGTAAAAGCCTTTCTCCTTATGGTTAAAATTAAATACAGTAAAACATTTCCCCCACTTCTTCCAATTCTGATATTTTAACGGCAACACAGCAAGTTCTAATTAGCCTAAGTTAAATAACCATTACTAATTTTACACCAAGATCAATATGGGGGATTTCTTTTTTTTAAATCTGTGTAACTTTTTTAAAAATATACTTTAAGTTTTAGGGTACATGTGCACAACGTGCCGGTTTGTTACATACGTCCACATGTGCCATGTTGGTGTGCTGCACCCATTAACTCGTCATTCACATTAGGTATACCTCCTAATTCTATCCCTCCCCCCTCCCCCCACCCCATGACAGGCCCCAGTGTGCAATGCTCCCCACCCCGTGCCCAAGTGTTCTCATTGTTCAGTTCCCACCTATGAGTGAGAACATGCAGTGTTTGGTTTTCTGTTCTTGTGATAGTTTGCTTAGAATGATGGTTTCCAGCTTCATCCATGTCGCTACGAAGGACATGAACTCATCCTTTTTTATGGCTGCATAGTATTCTATGGTGTATATGTGCCACATTTTCTTAATCCAGTCTATCATTGACGGACATTTGGGTTGGTTCCAAGTCTTTGCTATTGTGAATAGTGTCACAATCAACATACGTGTGCATGTGTCTTTATAGTAGCATGATTTATAATCCTTTGGTTATATACCCAGTAATGGGATGGCTGGGTCAAATGGTATTTCTAGTTCTAGATCCTTGTCTTCCACAATGGTTGAACTAGTTTACAGTCCCACAAACAGTGTAAAAGTGTTCCTATTTTTCCACATCCTCTCCAGCACTGTTGTTTCCTGACTTTTTAATGATTGCCATTCTAACTGGTGTGAGATAGTATCTCATTGTGGTTTTGATTTGCAGTTCTCTGATGGCCAGTGATGACGAGCATTTTTTCGTGTGTCTGTTGGCTGCATAAATGTCTTCTTTTGAAAAGTGTCTGTTCATATCCTTTCCCCACTTTTGATGGGGTTGATTTTTTTCCTCATAAATTTGTTTAAGTTCTTTGTAGATTCTGGATATTAGCCCTTTGTCAATATGGGGGATTTCTTTGTGTGTCATTATGTTTACATAGCTTCATAATGTATCTCATCACTTCCTGGTAATGAATAATTAAGTTTATCTGGAAAGTCCTGAAGAGCTGGGTTTAGGGGACAGATTATAAAGAGGGTGGTGGCTGAGGTGAGGCCTGGGTCATCTTTTTTGTTATTGGTGCTGTTGTCGTTGAGATAGGGTCTCTGTTGCCGAGGTGGCAGTGCAGTGGTGCAATCATAGCTCACTGCAGCCTTGAACTTTTGGGCTCAAGTGATCCTCCCGACTTGAGCCTGTAGTGTGCCTGTAGTCCCAGCTACTCAGGATGAGTCCCGACATCCTGAGTATCTGGGGTTACAGGCACATGTCACCATGCCCAGCTAATTTTTAATTTTTTTTTGTAGAGATGAGGGTCTCGCTATATTGTCCAGGCTGATCTCAAACTACTGGCCCCAAGCAATCCTCCCACCTCCTCGGTCTCCAAAAGTATTAGGATTACATGTGTGAACCACCAGGCCCAGCCCCTGGGTCATCTTAACTCGAATGACTGTTTACAGTTTGGCTATTTTCACTTGGTAGTAGGATAAAATTGAGATTTATCAAAGAGATAGCCACCGTTAGAGGAAGAGTCAGTGCCTCCCTGTACTAGATGTGAGGTCGTGTTTCCAAACAGCTGTTCCAGATTTAAATCATACATAGAAATTGAAGCAGTAATTGGTCTATTAAAAACAGTAGTATTTTTATTCAGTGCTATAGGTGTATGTAGCTATGCATGTAAATGCGGTTTATGTGGTATGCCCTGTACATCAATGAATTTGTGCTTTGATGTGTGTATCACACCAAACTTATACTTGAAAGATGTCACTTCTGTAGACAAGATTATGGCTATAATTGTATTCCAGCTCTCCTTAATGCTTGAGTCTGAAAAAAATTTTAGGCACAGTGTTTTGAAAATCATAAATATATATCATTCAGAGTAGAAGCGGGACATATGGGATTATAAAAAAATTAAAAGAACGAAAGAAAGTGAGCAAAGAAACATAGAAATGGTGAGTCAAATACAAAGCACAAAACTAATGTAGGAAAAATAAATCCAAAATACATCAGCAATTAAATAGCTATAAATTGAATGGTTTTTCCAGTTAAAAGATTACAATGTTCAGATTGAATTTTTGTAATATCCAGCAATGTATTTTTAGAAATGACCTGCCTAAAACTTAACGATTCAGAAAGGTTGAAAATAAAAGGATCAAGAAAGATGTGCCCAAGGGAAATACCAACTAAAAGTGCTGTTGCTGTATTAATATGAGAAAAATAAGACTTTAAGGAACAAAAAAAAAACTGCCTGTGCGGTGGCTCATGCCTATAATTCCAGCATTTTGGGAGGTCGAGGCAGGCAGATTGCTTGAGCTCAGGGGTTTGAGACCAGCCTGGGAAACATTGTGAAACCCCATCTCTACCAAAAATACAAAAAATTAGCCAGGCATGGTGGCACATGCCTGTAATCCCAGTTACTCAGGAGGCTGAGGTGGGAGGATCATTTGAACCTGGGAGATGGAGGTTGCTGTGAGCCGAGATTGCACTGCTGCACTCCAGCCTGGGCAACAACAGAGTGGGACCTGTCTCCAAAAAAATAAAAAGTAAAAATAAAGGAAAACAACTACTAGATGCCACTATATAATGGTAAGAGGTTGAATTTACTAAAAAGCTGTAACAATTCTTATTCACATAATTGCTTTAAAATATAAAATTCAAAAATTGACCTAAGTTTTAAGGAAAAATATTTTAATCGAATCATTTTGGTCATTGATTGGTTAAGCGGACAAACATGCTCATTATATAAACATGTAGCATAATTTTAAAAGGTAGACCTAATTGATACATGGAACTTCATATCCTCATTCTTTTCATGGATGTTTTGAACATTTGTAAAAGTTCAGTATACACAGGACCTTAAAGCATGTCTCAGTAAATTTTAAATTTCTAATATTATAAAGTCCAGAGGTTGACAAACTTTTCCTGTAAAAAATTAATGAGTAAATATTTTAGTCTCCTGGGTCAACTTTGTGGGACTAGTTGAGAACAGTCTCAACTTTGCAGATGTTATGTAAAAGAAAATAGAGATAATATATAAACAATTGAGTTTAGTTCTGTTACAATAAAACTTTTATTTACAAAAACAGGTGATAGGCTAAATTTGGTCCATGAGCCATAATTTGCTGACCTCTGATTTGGAACATATAACTGGCCTCAGTAATTTTAATGGGGAAATCATTAACAAAATGTAATTAGAAAAAAAAAATTATTCGGAAGTTAAGAAAAAATATTAAAGTAACTCATAGGTCAAGAAATCAAACTTATGTAAAGAATAAAACAATCACTTTCCACAAATTGATGAAGAAAATAAGAAAGCTGCAAGCAGAAATTAATAAAGTGAAAAATGAAGACAGGAAGACTCAACAAAGCCAAAGGATGGTTCTTTGAAGGACTAGTATGATTCGTAAACCTCTGTCCAAACTTGTCATCGTAAAAGAGGTGCAAGTAACAGCTGGATTTAGGAAGAGAATATAATAGCAGATATCACTGAGATGTTTACAATAAGTGATTATTATGTAACAACATAATGCCAATAATTTTGAATATTAAGACAAAGTGGAAAATTTTCTAAATAACACAACTGATCTAAGCTGAGTTTAGAAGGCAGAACTTAAATAGTTGTAAATTCAAATATGTATATGTATAAGTAGTTTTTAAAATTCCTCAAAAGAACTCTAAAAGCAGATTATTTTACTAGTGACTTCCACCAAGCATTATAGGCGGAAATATTTCTAGTATGTGAACCACAATAATAGAGAAAACAAGAGACTAGTCCCCAACTCCTGTCATGAAGTGAAGTATAACTAACCCTGCCATCTGTGGTGGCTCCGTATTGTGTCAGCTTGGTTATGTTGGATCTGTTTCCCTTTTTGTGTTGTTCCGAGTGAGACTGGCTGGAAGAAAAGGTAATGTAAGAGTTGGATGGCAGTGTGAGGAAGCTGCCACTGGGATTCTGAATTTTGGTGTAGGGTACCAGGTGCCGTGGGTGTTTGCACATGTCACTGGTCATTCAGCAACATACAGAGGTAAAGCTTGTCCTCGTTTCGCCAGATCTTACCCTTTGACCCTTCCAGAACCCAGGCCAGGTATATGTGCAGTTTTGTGGTGAAGGCCACCCTTTTCTCCTTAGGTCATCTGTATCATTGAGGACAAAGATGGTGATAGACAGACACATTCCTGATTTTTTTCCCTATAAGTTTGAGATCATCTTTGCTCTCCTCAGACCATTTCTTAGTCAGCTCTATTGCTGACTGCCAGACAGGCAACCTATGTTGACTTTAAGCACAACATCAGATACAAAGACAACAGCCTCACAGGAACTTATTAATCAACTTCTGCAAATGTAGAAGGTATAATTGGTATAATAAATCTCTTGTTCTGTAACATCCAGAGTGATTAAACCTTAACTGATACATTACGAGAATATGAAAGGTCACTACGAGGAAGGAATATTATAGGTCAATCTCACTCATGAATATAGCTGCAAAATCTTAAATAAAAGATCAGCAAATAAGCTTTCTAAGATATCTGTTGTGGTAAGGTATCCTGTTTTAAATAGCATCCTGTCCCATTAATTGAGCGGAAAAACAATATTCTATTAGGAGCTACAAAGTTGTTTTTGTAAAACCCAATCAAACCTGTAAAAGTTACCTTGGGATTATTTTGAAGCAAATCTCAGACAGATCACCTAATGAATAAGGAAAGAATGGATTAGAGGAAGGCCAGAATGAATGTGAAGAGAAAAACCATTATACATATAGTTTTTATATATATATACATATATTATATATATAATAACTATTATAGTTATAGTTAATAACCATTATATAGAAATACTATAATGGTAACTTGGCCTAGGCCTTTGATTCAAGTATGATGGTATTGGAAATAAATGAATATAGACATTGTCAAAGAAAATTTGGAGAGACATTGACATGATGAAGTAATGGATTAAATTATACACACTTTGACATCAACATCTGAAAACCTTGGGGTAATCACAATGTAATTTATCAAGGCATTTTCAGTATAAGACATGATAGTATATTATGATACATTTAAGAAATGTACTGGCCGGGCGCAGTGGCTCACGCCTGTAATCCCAGCACTTTGGGAGGCCGCGGCAGGCGGATCATGAGGTTAGGAGTTCCAGACCAGCCTGGCCATCGTGGTGAAACCCCATCTCTACTAAAAATAACAAAAATTAGCCATACGTGGTGGCACGTGCCTGTAATCTCAGCTACTCAGGAGGCTGAGGCAGGAGAATCATTTGAACCCAGGAGGTGGAGTTTGCAGTGAGCCACTGCACTCCAGCCTGGGAGACAGAGCGACACTCCGTCTTAAAACAAACAAACAAACTAACTAACTAACAAAAACTGTACTAAATCCTTTGTCTGTTAATCTGGAATTAATCTAGGGAAAAGCTTAAAAGTGCTTCATTGAACCCAGCAACCCAGGAAACTTGCACCTAGGGACTGTCATCTGGCTTCATCACCATGGGCAACACCTTTGAGAACCCAGGGACTGTTGAGAAGGCTATTCTGGAGAGTTCTGTGCTTCCAGAGTACTGCTGCTTTAAACTATTTCAAAATCTGTGGCTTCTTCCAGACCCGTTATTCTTTAATTTTCTTATTTCTACTATTTTAAGTACTTTCCCTCTGTAAATTTTTTGACTGTTATATGAAAATGGCTGGTCTGTTATCCTATATGATGTCAACCAGCACTGATTTCTTTGCCACGGGTAGACACACACATGATATAGGTTTAATGTCTTTTGAGTCCACAGCTCGTCAGGTTGTGGGGTTTTTTGGTGGTTGTTTCATTTTCATGGGCTGTTTTTGCTTGTTTGCTTGCTTTTATTTGTTTTCTTCTTTGTTTTATTTTGCTTACAAAGGGGGCAAACTTACTCTAGTATGCCAAGGTGCTGTTTTGTGTACACCATAGGCACCAAGTAACAATGAACCATGAACATTTGTGGGGTTTACCAATAACTAAGGTGCTTTTGAGTTGTAAGTTTTCAATTTGCTATTTAACTTTACCCGTCAGTGGAAAGACAAGATTAGAAGAAGAAAGCATGCATGGTGCATTTATATCTACATTATAGCACCGATAAGAATAATGCATAAGCTAACATTAACTGAGGACTGGCTGTGTACCAGGCGGTGCTCTGATTCATGTACTACTTCTACAGTTATGTATTAATCACAAATTCTGTGAAGTAGGTGCTACTGTTAACCTTATTTTCCAGATAATGAAATTAAAGCACAAAGAGATTGAGTAATTTTTTTAGGTAACAAATTTAATATTTGGGTGAGCTGGGATATGGACCCACCATTGACAGTATGATTGCAGGGCTGAGGCTCCTGACAACTATCCTATACGGGAATAAATAGTTCTGTTTATAGCTCTCCTGTAAAGTCATTTGTTATATCAAATGTAGGTAAACTGCTGATGCAAGTGAAATTTGTAAGAAGCGACATCAATGAGAGCTACTTTTATTTTTGTGTATTTTGGTTACAAATAAAATTGGCATTTTTTAGGAAGTATATATTTTCTTATAAATATTGTATGTTCAGCAGAAATCTGCAGAAAGGTCAAGTCCTATTTTCAAAAATAGAATCAATATTTTTGGTTAGATTTTTGCTTGTTTAATTTTTTTCTTTGCAATGACATCTTTCTTTTTAATATTTTTCAGATCAAGGACGTGAAATAATTTTGTGTTTTGTTGTCATTGTCTTGTTTTTTTGAGACAGAGTCTTCCTCTGTTGCTCAGGCTGGAGTGCAGGGGCACGATCTCAGCTCACTGCAACCTCTGCCTCCCGGTTCAAGCGATTCGCATGTCTCAGCCTCCTGAGTAGCTGGGATGACAGGCATGTACCACCTTGTCCAGCTACTTTTTCTATTTTTAGTAGAGACGGGGTTTCACCATGTTGATCAGGTTGGTCTCAAACTCTTGACTTCAGGTAATCTCCCTGACTCAGCCTCCCAAAGTACTGAGATTACAGGCCTGAGCCACCACACCCGGCCAAAATTTGTTAATTTCACAGTTCACATGCCAACCAAAGGCTTTCAAGGATACCATGTTAAGGATAACAATAGCAAAAAGAGTTTTTGCTTTCCTTTTCCACAGAATTCTTTTGTGCTTCATAAAAGTCTTAGTATAAAAATGTACTGTCGGCCGGGTGCGGTGGCTCAAGCCTGTAATCCCAGCACTTTGGGAGGCCGAGACGGGCGGATCAGGAGGTCAGGAGATCGAGACCATCCTGGCTGACATGGTGAAACCCCGTCTCTACTAAAAAATACAAAAAACTAGCCGGGCGAGGTGGCGGGCGCCTGTAGTCCCAGCTACTCAGGAGGCTGAGGCAGGAGAATGGCGTGAATCCGGGAGGCAGAGCTTGCAGTGAGCCGAGATCTGGCCACTGCACTCCAGCCTGGGCAGCAGAGCGAGACTCTGTCTCAAAAAAAAAAAAAAAAATGTACTGTCTATAATAAAGTCATGCCCTCTGTTTTAGGACTCACTATTTTAGGGTGCTACCTACAATTTATTTACCATCAGTGAAAACGATATGTAAATCAAATATTTTATGGACAATGTTAGCACCTAAGGGACCATCCCTACAACCTAGCTATGGGAATTTGCTAAGTTTGTCATGACTCTGAGAACCTTTGGCTCTCAGGCTTACGAGGATGGCTTGATTAAGGTTCACGCAATTCTAAAAGTCTCTCAAGAGCTTAAGGTTCAACTGGGCAGCAACTATTTTCACCTGTGTGTCCCCAGGACATAAAACATGTTAGGCACCTGATACATATTGAGCGAATGGGTAAATGAATGAATGACATTTCACCTCCTTCATTCATTACACAAATAAAAATTAATAAACCTTGGTACAGTTTATGATGGTCCCTCATGATTTAAGGATTTAGATATTTTGAATTAAAATTGTACTTTGTTATTTATTTCTGCACGGAGGGATTATTTGTGCCTTAAAAAAATCATCAATCTTATTCAGTGTAGTTTAAAATATTCCCAAAGCAGGAATACCTTTTCTAACATTACACAAGATATTTTAAACATTTTGAGAACCTTTAGCTCTCAATATTGACAAACATTTGAGTAGGATAGAAATCATCCTTAAGTAACAGCTAAAGGAAAAGTAATGTTTATTGTTGGTTCAGTATCCTGGATATTGGGAACAGATATATTTTCCTCAACAGAAGCCCTTTATCATTTTGTTTCAGGATCTATAATAAAAATATATTTCGTGAAACCATATGACATTATTATTTTAAACTATATTTAATTGGATTTTATACTATGCTTACAGTGTTTTTACTTGTATCAAAGTTGACAAAGTTGAAAAGGCCTTCTTATATAACATTTATTCTCAAAGCCTTACACACACATACTGATAAAATATCGTTCACCACAGTATTTAGGCCCTGATGGTAAATGTGTGGTTTTGTAATGATCTCAATCATATTTTCTCAAATTATGATTTTTCAGAGCGTTGTATCCTTTACCTAACCATTCAATCCCAATCACTCACTTCCACCCATATTTTCTCTAATTGTAATTTTTTTCAGACCCTTGTAACCTGTCCTAACCACTCCATTCTCTCCTGTAGGAGAGGAGACATCACACACCACAAGATTGACATCTGTAGTTTCCCAGCAACCTTTATACAAGAAATGCATGACCCTTGAAACAAAGGTTAACTGTTGGATAACAACTGCTCAGTTTTTTTCCAAGATGCTTATGTCAGGCTTACCCTCAGACCTCATCTGCCCTCACTCACTACCACTAGGCCAACAGATTTAGGTACTCATGTTTAAGTAAAGTAGAATAAAAAATAAAATGGAGCAAGAACTGAGCTCAGATATGACCCCTAAAGGCTGTATGAGTGCATGGCCTTGTAAAGAAACCCAAAGCAACACAACCTCTGAGAACTGAATAATGGCCCGTTCCAGATGCGTCTTTGCAATGGTGGAAATTTGGCACTAACAGGTAAAAGAAAACCTTAGGATTTCTTTGTGATGATTTAAGGAGAAGGTTTTATTTTTTACTTAGTGAGCCCTTAATAGTAATTTTGGAGTAAACATTCATTTTTTCTAAGGATAGGAATCTTACACTTTTAAAAAGACATTCAGAAATGAAAAGATGATCACAGACTTTTGCCCTGAGATAAAAGGACTTAAAAGTTATATCAACTTACGTATCATTATTGAAGGCAGTTTGTGAACTGAGCTGCTCTTCAGAAAATAAAAATTATCAACCTGTATTTGTTAATATTATGGTATTGCTGTTTTTATGATTATGATATTGTGGTTATAATTATGAAGAATACTCATCTTTTAGAAATAATACTAAACTATTTATGGATGAAATTACATACTGAGATTGGCTTCAAAATAATCCTAGGAGTTTCCATGGGGAAGTGGGTGAGTTATAGATGAAACAAGACTAACTGTAAGTTGATAATTGTTGACACTGTGTATGCATATGCATGTATGTTTGAAATTTTTGTAGTAAAAAATGGGGAAAACTGCCAACCCAGATTCAGGCAGGAATATATTTATCCTGATGTTCTTTTTCTGACAGTGGAGTAACAATTACTTTTAAGTTCCCAAACTCAGGTATATACCCTCAAAAATCCATATCTGTGGATCACTCATTTGTTAATTTGTCTAAATACCACTTCTTGGAAGCAGTGAGCTCTCTAAGTTTGTGATTGGTTGTGTAAGTCAGAAAAGCTAAATTTGTGTCCCCAATATTTTAGCTTTAAAAATTGTCAGAAGGTGATCTTGCTTTCCAGTTTTTCAGAATTTCTTGAAAACGTTTATTCACTTTTAACTACGCCTTCCATAATTATGTAGCTTTCTGTCCTAACGCCTCTTAGATTTCAAATTTCTAGTTTGAAACATCTAAAAGTTTTAAGATTTCTCGGCTGCAGAAGTGTCTTCATGTCTTTGACGGTTTCCGGTGCCCTTCTTTGAAACTTTTCCAGCTTAAACATCACTTTCCCACTGAGGATTAGTGACCAAACCAGACACAGGTCCCCGTGCTTTCAGGGACATTAGCAATGGTTAAAATGGAAATACAATAGTCCCTGTAATCCCAGCACTTTGGGAGGCTGAGGTGGGTAGATAGAATTGCCTTTGTTTCATATCCTACAAGGTTTAACATTTTATTTTAGTCCTTGTTGGTAGTAACATTAGGCCATCCCTCATCTATGGTATATCTTAGACGCTTTTTCTGAGCCATAATAATTCAGAGTCCATTATCTTCTATAGAATGTAATTCTTATTATTTTCCTAGTGTTTTATCTGATACTGGCTCTCTTTAAAACTTCTGCCCACTCATAGGGCTTAATGTTCTTCTAGATATCTCGAGATTTCGCAGTGCTCTCTTATACGTACAATCATAGCTATCCAGCATTTAAACAATTCTGTCCCTAACACGTTCACTCACTGTGCATTTATTTTTAATGAATCCATACAGCTGAGCACACAGAACATACACTGAGGACACTCAGTCTATTCACTCTTCTGTTCCTTGTCATTTTTTAGTGAATTAACCATATACCATTTTCTTCCAATTCCATGGAGTCATTTTTAAAAATTACTTTTGCTTTTGATCCATTTAAAATTTTTAAAAGAATTAAGTATTGATAGGTTCTCCTTAGTCCACAAATTGAGCTTTCTGGTTGCAATATTCTGTCTGCAGTCATTATCAACAGACAATTTTACATTTGATTGATTTGCGGACTAAGGCTTCTCCTGAACGGACTAAGGCTTCTCCTGAAGCCCAGCACATCTCCCAGTTCAGTAAGTGTGAGTTATGCTCAAATCCATTGGCTTCTTTTCTCCCCACTGCCCTGGAAATCTGTTTACTACCATTAAGGACTACAGAAAGCCTTCTTAAAGCATTCTAGGAAATTCCATGTTCGAATTACTCTTTAACAACTCTTCTAGTGCACATGGCCTAAGAGATACAGTACTTAGACCTTTGCAATAACAGCTGTATAGACTCAGTCTCTGTGATCAGAGTGCACAACCCAGTGGGGGAGACAGACATAGAAACAGAACATTATAATACACGGTGTCTAAAATTGTTTTCAGAACAAACATTGTCACAGTACTGATGATAAAACAAAAATTGTCACAATACTTATGATAAAACTTCCTACATTTATTCTGTAGGAATATTATTATGCATTATTATGCATTCTGTAGGAATATGCATTATTCAAAAGCATAAAGCTTTTGTTGTTACAGAATAATGAGCATAAGCTTAAAATTGAAAATTTTAATTAATTTAATTTTAAACAAAAATTAAAATTTACTTTTACTGTATGGTTTGTGTAGATTACTGTACTCCCCTTATGAGTACAAACCAGGTGACAAAGAGCCAGTGGGGAATGACAGTTGCTTCATGTAAATATGCTGGACTGAATAGGCCCCTTCAGTCTTTCTAACTTCACCTAGTAATGTGCCACCCATACAAATAGCCTGGGCCAAGCTGGCTCTGAGTTTCAGTTTCATTGGGAGTATCTGGCCTCTTCTGTGGTCATATAATATGTCTACAGCTCACGCACTCTCTTACCCTTTGTGTGTTAGTCATAGAATCTGGTCACATCCAAGCTCCTCATTTTATAGAGAAGGAAACTTTGGTGTCATTAAGCTACTTGCCCCAGGTCACACAAACAGCTGGTAGGATTAGAACTTAATTCAAGATAAGGAAAAGATATGCATGGTATTCATTAGTGATAACTTGAGGTAAACATTGGCAATGTAATATGGCAGCAAATGTCAATAGGTTAGTACCTAGGAAAGAATTATCGTCATAATTTTTTTCTCTTGCTTGTTACATGAAGACAATATCCCCAGTAATTCTTTTTCCTTTTATATACCAGAAGAAGGTAGAGCCTTAAAAATGCTGATGAAAAAAGACAGATAACAGAATCTGTCACCATATTTCAGCAAGACAGACTTCAGTATGTTAATACTGTGTAATGTGATCACCAGCTCACTTAATCCTTGGAGTCCTATCATAGTTCGGTCACTGCTCTTGATTCCATCATAGACTGTGTGCCTTTTTCAACTTTATAGGCCAGCAAAAAATACCAGGCACATGTTTGGTTTTTCCTCTCATCTTGCCAACTACCCTTTCCTCTGCCTTTTAGGGTGAACAATCTCAGCTGTATTTAAATTGACTGCTGACGCCTTTTGATTTAGAAATGACCTCTAGAAAAATCACAATAGTGAGCTGTGCCTATATAAATAAGAGGACTGTGATTTTGTACTGAAGCCAATTCTAAACTTAGATCCTTGCAAAATGAAAACATGAGCTGGCTACCAGCTGACCGTAACGCGCTTTTTATTTATTTATTTTTTTTTGAGACGGAGTCTCCCTCTGTCACTCAGGCTGCAGTGCAGTGGCGCGATCTCTGCCTCCCAGGTTCAAGTGATTCTCCTGCCTCAGCCTTCCGAGTAGCTGGGACTACAGGCGCCCTATCCCCATGTCCAGCTAATTTTTGTATTTTTAGTAGAGACGGGGTTTCACCACGTTGGCCAGGCTGGTCTCTAACCCCTGACCTCAGGTGCTCTGCCTGCCTCGGCTTCCTAAAGTGCTGGGATTACAGGCGTGAGCCACCGTGCCCAGCCCTAATGCACATCAGCCCTAATGCACATCTCATACTTGCATGTGAGGATGAAGGAGAAAGACTAACCTAGTCACTGATCACTCCTGAGCTTTCTGACTGCAATATTCTGTCTGCAGTCATTATCAACAGGCAATTTTACATTTTATTGATTTGTAGGTTATTTAAATAGGCTTTTATCTTTTAACGATAGAACTAATTTCTATCCTGTTTCGACTAGGAAAGCAATTATACTCACTTTTTACTTTCTATATCACACAAACAGTTAAAGACTTTCGGCTGCAGCATTTCTCAGCTTTAAAAATAGAAAATGCTCCAGCATTTCTGGCCCATCCCCCACATTGCACCTACCAGCCCTGCTCCAAGTGCTTATGAATAGAGTTCAATTTTGAAGACATTCTCAGGTTAGCACACAGGAACCTCTGTGAAAGTCTGAAGGGGAGGAAAAAATAGTTAGAAATCCAGACACTGATATTTCCTCTTGCTAGAACACTTGCAGTTATGACACCTGGCTGTCACAGACAAAAAACGTCAACCAAACTATGTCCGCAGATATTGCTATTGAAATGAACTACATTAAGCAGGTCCTCACGAAAAGAAGGCTAGCGAGTAGAGAGGAATGTTCTTCTAAACGAAAAGCTAGCTGGGGTATTCTGACCAGTCAAGGTTAGTATGGCAGCCATTTCAAATCTGTCGGTGTCCTGAAATAAACCATATTGGCCTGTTTTGCAAATACTAACTTTAAACTGCGGGTGCTTTCCAGAATGTGGATTGAAATGTACATGTATGGCATGGCAAAGGACTGCTCTGTATTCTCGCCTTTTCGTGTATGGAAACTGCATCGGCTGCCTCATTTTTATGACTGTATATTAAACACGACTGCAAACTCTTAGCCTCTGGCTTGTTTACCTTTCTGTTTCAGCAGGTGTTTCTAAGTTGGTGTGGAAACAAGGAAAGATGCTATTAAGCAGGAAAAGACTGTTTACAGGCAATTTGGAAATTTTAAATCATGTAAATTAGACATCAAGTAGGAGGATGATTTAGGCAAGTAAATGAATAGAGCAACTTCCTTAAAGTGTTCTGACATGAAGTCATTAATTATAATGATAGAAAAATATGAAAGATATAAAGGAGAATGAGCCCAGCACCAAAGAGGAGGAATTATTTTTAAAAAGGAATATGCATACATTTGCATAAGTTTCAGTAGAACACCAGTATGATAGGTGATTGATTTAAGTGTTGAAAATGCAGATTCAAGATAAAATGACTCCTGCCCCCCAAGATTGTAAGAGTTATATTTACTATGTAATAGCTAGAGCTCGAAGAATGTTATTATAAATGATTATGTTTTTCAAACATACAAAGCATATTTTCAAATAAATTAAAACACTATAATTTCTTTCAGACATTGAGAAAGCAACTGGATCCCTACTCCCCACCCCAATACACATTTCCTTTTTGTTACTTTTTAAAAACGTAATTAACAACAAAATTGAGAAATATACCAGCAAGGAAAAAAGTGGTTGACTACAAAGAAGACAATTCAACAATCCAACAAATGCCCATCCAGTGCTGACTGTGTGCTAGGCACTATGCTAGAGGTGGAGAGCAGCAATAAACAGTCTCATCATTTTATGGTCCTTAAAGTCCAGAAGGAATGCAATTATTACAGAAATAAAGACAATCCCGTCATTTCTTAAATGAAGGGTAAATTACCTAACAATGCACTAAATCACAGGCATTAGCAAGATAATAGAACTGTGGCAATGGCAAAAATTAAAAAAAGAATTAAGTAAACTAATTCACCTGGATGAATCTCACGTATCTTCAATGCAGATAGAGACTCTAAAGGAAGTTGAAAATAAGCTATTATTTTATGTTAAAAATCTAATTTTGTATACAGTTTTCTTTGACATGGCTTAAATACACTGAAAATACAGAGCCAGGCCCAGTGGCACATACCTGTTATTCCAGTGACTCCGAAGGCTGAGGCAGGAGGATTGCTTGAGCCTGATTGGAAGGCTGCAGTGAGCCTTGATCACATCACTGCCCTGCAGTCAGGATGACAGAGCAAGGTTCTGTCTCTTAAAAAAAGAAGAAAAAAAATGTAATAAAAAAAATGCCCCCATGCTTTGATTTAAAAGGAGAAAAAAGACAAGTCTTAGCAAACTTGCACTAGATTTAGCTTTACATTTTCTCAGTGCTATTAATGAGAATGTAAATAGGATCAGTCTTGCTGGAGGTAATTTGATGGCATGTGTGAAAATTTTAGGAATTTACCCTAAGCAGATAATTATTCACAAAGATAAGTAATAATGTTTGATTTCCCAAAACTAAAAGCCACCTAAACATCATTTGATAGATAATTAAATAAATACATACATAATGCTCTAGCTATATGATTAAATACATATCAATATATCATAATCACTTGTGGTAGAACTATATTTTTTCACATAGAACAATGACCATGAGATATCTTAAATGAAACAAATCGGTTAAAAACATTATGAACAGTATGATTGTATCTTGATTAAAAAATGTGTGTTTTTAGAAAAAAGTTGGAAAGATACAACCTAAAATGTTTGTAATGGTTGTATTTAGAAACAAGCATTATGATTTCTTGTGTATTTTAAATTTCATTTATTTAATGTACAACTTTTATAGTCAATATGGCATTACAGCTAATAGTACTGTATTGCTGTGTTTTGCTATTATTTCAAATATACATATTATTATATGAAAATATAGAAAACACAATTCCACAGTTCTTCCTTTTATTGAAATAACTCTCCACTTGTGTAGTCAGTTAGTTATATTTATGATGGACTCTTTGTGGATTAACAGTCCACCAAGTGCCCTATGAGTTCTAGGGTTGAAAAGAATATTGTACCCTAAAATTTCAACTGGACGTTCAAAAGAACCAAGTTTGCTTCCTGGCTTTGTCAGTTATTGTTTATAACTTGGGGCAAGTCATTTAATTGCCCTATGTCCTAATGCAATGGAAATAATAACATTGACTTTCTTAAGAACACACTGTGTTAGACACTTCTCATGTCCATGTAACCCTCAGAACAGCTAGAATATGTAATACGATTGCCCCCATTTTATAGATGAGGAAACTGAAACTTAGCAATGTCAAGAAACGGAGTTAGCCAATATGTGATAGAGTCAGGAGTCCAATTCAGATATGCCTCCTTTCACAGCCCTTGATTTTAACCTCAGAAGTAAATTTTAACATGTGGCACTGAAATTTGTTAGAAATAGGTGTGATCGTGTGACTCTGAGCAATCATTCATGCAACATTCACTCATGTGCTAGGTATCAAGGGTATGGTAATGAATGAAATCAATTGAGTCTCGCTTTCTAAGGTCTAACATTCTAGTGATAAGTGCTGAGAAGAAAAGTAGAGCAGGGAAAGGAGACAAAGAATGAATGTTAGGGAAGGAACAGGGAGGACTTTTTAATAGAAGGTTGTCAAGAAGGCCTGTCTGATAAGGTGATATTTCAGGGAGCACTAAAGTCAGAGAACAAGTGATGTGTGTCTCAGAAAGGAGTACTTCAGAAAGAGCAAACAGAAGGTTGTGTAAGGAAAAGCAAGGAGGCCAGCATGGCTGGATGAGGATGACGGACCTCGGAAAAAGTGCGTAGAGCCTGAGATCAGAGCCTGGAGAGTTCATAGGTCATGACAAAGGCTTTGGATTTTATTCCAGGTGAGAAGGGAAGCCATTGGATTCTTTCTAACTTCCAAAGGATTGCTTTGGCTCCCATGTTTAGTAAAGATTACTGGAAGGGCATGGGCAGAAACACACTGGAGACTTTTGCAATACGTCAGATGAGAATAATGGTGGCTTGGACTAGGGTATAGTGGTGGAGGTTGAGATACAAAGTTTGGATACATTTAAATGATAGAGGCAAAATGACTTCCTGGTGTGGGCCTGGCGGTCGAGAGAAATAGAAACTAAGGATTATGCAAAGGGTTTTGGCCTTGAAGCACCTGGATGAGTGGAGTTATGATTTGCGGATCAGGAGACGTTAGGAGTAATGAATCAAGGGTTCAGTTTGGGACATGTTAAGTTGAATTACCTATTTATATATTCAAGTGGAGAAGCTGAATAGCCAAACCTAAAATTGGGGTAATCAACATGTGGATAATATTTATGTTCATGGCACTAATAGGGAGCTCCTCAAGAGTAAGTGTAGATAGATCCAAAGACGGAGCTTGGATGGTGAGGACTCAAGGTGGGGAAAGAAACCACAACAACAAGAGAAAAAAACAGTGGGCCAAAAATAACTGACTCCTTTCGAAGAAGCATATGAAACATTCAATATAGAGTTTCCTTGACAATTATTGTGCTTAAATTTGAGACCATATTATTACTACCAGGTGATGGAGGGAAATGGTAACACTGTTTAAACCAATATAAAAATGAAAAAGGAATAGCTAATCGTAAGAGAAAGGTGTTGGCTTTTAGAAATGCATTGAGATGCCAGGAAAGTGTCTAGGTGAATCCCCAGAAGTAAATTTTAACATGTGGCACTGAAATTTGTGGGAAAGATCAGCGTGGGAGCTATGTAGATTAGAGTAATCCATATGCATGTAATAATTGTTACTAAATTTTGACAATTCTCTCTTTTTATCTCCTACGGATATATAGGCAAGAGGAATAAGATGAGATAAAGCATCATTATCTTAAATAAGTTATCCTTCCTTCTGTTTGGAAGATGTAGTTAAAAGCTGATAGGGAAGATATATGAAAGTAATTGTTTAAGATGAAATTTGGACTGTATTTGTGATGTTTCAAATGCATTTAGTACTGTGCTAAGTACTTTACATTCATTACAATTCAATTAGGTAGGCAGAATCACCCTTGTTTTTACAGTTGAGAAAACTGAGTTTCAAGATGTTAACTGCCAAAGGTCACATAACTAGTGAATATCTATGCTGGAATTTGAACTCAGGTCTATCTTATACTTAAATCCAGCACTCTCTATCCATGGCACCAGTGATCAGTAATAGTTAACTGAGAAAACTGGTAGCTTGAAAATTATTGTGCTTCAATTTGAGACTGTATGATTATTACCAGGTGATGGAGGGAAATGATAATACTGTTTAAACCAACAGAGAAGTGAAAAAGGAATAGCTAGTCTTAAGATAAAGACGTTGGCTTTTAGAAATGCATTGAAATGCCAGACATTATTTCCCTTGAAACCATGTTTCAAGGATTTCTGTCGCTCTGTGGTTGTCTGAAAGTATACAATAAAGGCTAGTAAATGCCTGGTGATTTTTTATTTGCTTATAAACTTGTGAGTAGAGATGAGCTAGATGTTGTCCAGTCTGAAGCTTATACTGTATACACTTTAGGGGCTCCTTTAAGAAAAGTAACATGAAATTAGGGACAGAGTCTTAGAAGGGGAGTCTGTGCAGGTTAGGGGTTTCACTGGCTTCATGGTAAATCCACCTCCATTGTGAAGACGATTGTTGGTTTAATATTTTACAGGGGCTGGGCTCGGTGGCTCACACCTGTAATTCCAGCATTTGGAGCCGAGGTGGGTAGATCATCTGAGGTCAGGAGTTTGAGACCAGGCTCGACCTAACATGGTGAAACCTCATCTCTACTAAAAATACAAAAAATTAGACCGGTGTGCGTGGCACATGTCCTGTAATGCCTATGCTACGTGTGTGCGTGGCCTGAGGCAGGGGAATCACTGGACCCGCGGAGTTGGAAGGTGCAGTGACCAAGGATTGGCGCCATGTGCGCACTCCAGCCTAGGCGACCAGAGGCAGACAACTCCATCTAAAAAAAAAAGATATATATATATAATACTATAATAGTATATAGTATATATATATAAAATGGTATAGTAGGTAGATCTAAAAAGGTATTGCCATTTTTTACCGAAATGAAAATGTTATTAATGAAAATGTCATTGCTTATTCCCTCTCCTTATAATTAATTCCCTTATTTTCCTATTTTGAGAACACTGAGGAAGAGCAGGTGTGGCTAAACTCTGCACCATCGCTAAGCTAGCTCTCTATTGAGTCCACATCCTGCTTCTGCTGATGGGATGTTCTAAGATTGGGAGCAGGTAAAGGCTTTTTTGTTTATTTGTTTTGTTTTATTTTGAGACAGGGTCTCACTCTGTTGCCCAAGCTGGAGTGCAGTATTAGGAACACAGCTCACTGCAGCCTCAAACTCAGGCTCTAGCAATCCTCTCATCTTAGGACTTCCCTAGTAGCTGGGACTTACAGGGACACACCACCGTGCCCAGATAATTTTTAAAATTTACTTTTCTTTTTTTTTTTTTTTGCAGAGACAAGTTCTCTCATGATGTTGCCCAGGCTGATCTCAAACTCCTGGGCTCAAGTGATCCTTCAGCCTCAGACTCCAGAGCAGCTGGGATTACAGGCATAAGCCATCGGCCCCGGCCACAAAGACATTTTTAATAATAATACGGTTTTTCCATGGCCGTGGACAGAGGTGTAATTGTAGTGCTTTTATTTCAATTCAGGGCACATGTTGTAAGGAGAAAAAATAAGTTAGGACCAGAAATTTCTCAAGTAAAGAGGAGTGATCAATAAGAAAAAGCAATTTTGAAAATAAATCACCTTTTCAACAGCTTTTTTCTTTTTGGAGGCTGACGGTCATATTACAAGGAGCTTGGAGCTCCTTAAAATGGCCGAACAGAACTAGCAAATGACTAGTGATTTTTTCTTTTCTTGCTGATTAAAAAAAAAAAAAAGCATGAGTCGGATTTACCTCGACAGTGGCTGGTGTGAAGTACCATGGGGAGATGGTGATTTAGGTATGGTATCAAACCTTACAAAATCGCATAGATATAAAAACGTGAGTGTTTTTCTCTAGCAATGTGGTGTTTACAAAACAGGGCAGGCTCTCTCCCTGTAAATTATATACCAGATGTCTGGGAACAAGAGTTGCTTCTAAATATAGTCAGAGCCACCTCCTGTGTAGCTACAGAGAGAGAATAACTAGGA